TGTGTGTGTGTGTGTGTGTGTGTGTGTGTGTGTGTGTGTGTGTGTAGTGACTTTCACCACCTCAATGTTGCTGCTCATTTAAGCGGTCACTGACTAAAGAGGAAACGAACCAAACTAACTAGTGGCGCAAGTGTTTTTGTAAAAGATTAGTTTCTCTAAATTTGTTTTACTTTTGTGCTTTCTAAAAGAATTGTGTTAAGTGGCGACTTCTTCCTTGTTCTTCTGTATTCCCCTTGGTTCTCTCTAGTCCCCGGTTTTATAAACAAATAACGCAGACAGCGTTTTGGTCGACACTCTCTTGTGATTTGTTCTCAAAAGCCTGCGTGTCCAGAGCAGGAGAGTGACCACATGTGAATCCTGGAACAGGGTACCAAATCTGATTACTCTGAAGGAATGGTGTATTGGCAGCAAAAATAAGCTGGCTGTGACAAAACGAAGCATAACTAATTCAGTTGGCACTGCCCTGGGTGTGATTTTCGTTCCCTCTATTTTAAACGATGCCAACTTAATCTCGACTATCCTGGTCTTTCATTTGGGCTTTGTTGGGATTTTTACCAACTTGGAAACATGTTTGCTGTAGATTTCAATGGACATTTCATCTTTTAACACCAACATCCTAACATGCAGTGTCGTATGTTTTGCAGAACACTGTAATGACCTGACCAACAGAACAGAACCTTCCATAATACTTATAATCCCACATTCAGGACTAGGATTTGATTGGACCTTCAGCCACCAAGCTTTAGCTGAATCAGTTTAACTATTTTTTACACTGTAAATGTTATTTACTATTCATTTCTAATTCATTGTGACATGATAAACATTAGGTATTTTTAAAAAAAAATACACTTTAGATATGCTTTTGCGTTTTTGTTGCTATTTTCATTATTAAAACACAATTTATATCGTTGCTTTTATAGAGGCGCACACGGAGAATATCGCTCATGATGTTGTGCTCAGTGTGATAAATGACTTCTAGTGGTTGTAGAGTTGAATGAACAAAGTTGAACATGTAGGTTTTGTGTATTAGACAATCGGTTTCTTGGTCTCAAGATGCTTTTCTTAAAGAAGCTATAACCACATTACATTTACACATCTTGCAGCATTGTATTCAGGTGGCAAATAGGAGAGATTTATTAAGATAACTGCAAACATGAAAAACCCAACAAGCCCTTTTTCATTTATTCCATTGACGCATTTGATATCTGCTTCCCCTGTAAGTGTTTCTCTGGCCCCTAGTAGGTGTTCTGTGTGTGCTGCATGTGGGTGAACGGGGTCCATGTTTCATTGAATGCTGAATCCCATTGAATAAGTGAAGAACAAAAACGTACTTGGTGCTTTTGGGGAAAACTCACAGGGGTGAGGTTTTTAAGGAATCTTGCACTCGCAACTCATTTATTTTCATTGGAGAGAGGAATAACTCTGGATCCATCCTTCTTTGTCGACATCCCACACCCGGGGCTGTATAAGATGATCTGTTATGGTTTTGTCAAACTGTACCTATACTGACTGTACCAAAAGCGTAGTTGAACTGTGGAATTGATTCCCTGAGGTAATCTTTAGCTATTTTAATGACAGAAAAAAAAAGAAAATGCATTTTAGGATTCTTTTTTTGGGGGGGGGCTCATTTGAATATGACATTGCCTGCTTTGTACATAAATGTGTTGATTATTAAAACCCTCAATGATCTGTATGTTCTTGTGCTGTGTTCACTCTAGGCAGGCTTATAGTGTATTACATCACATTTACCACCACAACATCGGAGACAGACTATCAAAAAAAATCAATTCAGCATAGTTTAGATATGAATTGGTGCATTACGTTAGAATATCGATCTGTGTAATTGCATGTTTCAAAGCCAAAATGTGTATCAAATTCTATAAATAGAATTTTGGTAATAGACTGGATTGTTGATCAGACCCTACTGAATTATAATTGCTGTTTCTAATACTGAGATGACGGTGCAAATGTTCAGTGAAGTGGCATTGCTGAGCAGTGAGTGACCAGCTTTCAGATCTAGAACGAAAGCTTTCACAGCAGAGATGGAGCCCAACAGCGAAACCTGACTGTACAAGTGACTGATTTGCAAGACTGCATGCTTGTGTGTGTGCAGTTTGTGTGTTTCCCTGTGTGAGAGAAAGAAAGATAAGTAAATATGAGTACAGGTTTTTGTGTTTTAAGGGGGCTCATGCCAGCATGTCATTTCCTGTGTGCTTGGATAATTAAAATGTCCTTTCAGAAAATGTTCCAGGCTAGAAAACACCTGCAGTTATGAAACCCTCCTATAAGTGGTGCACTTTCTCTTTGTTTCGGCTGTTGTTGAGGAGGGCAGAGACTTAAAGGAACTGTGTACGCTCTCTATCAACAAAAAGGGCCTTTAAACACTATTATGTAAAGCTCAGATAGTGAAGGAACAATGGTGAGGTACGTTAAGGATAAGGGCTTTCAACACTTTATTTTCAGTTTAAAAGTTGTCTGATTTACTCAGATAACAAAGAAGAGACCCAGGGCAGTCTTCATGAAGAAAGCTTAAAATGCTTTAATCTGTGGATTTGCACACTGACTTGGATAAAAATTTTCAAAACCTCCAGAGTTAGTTTCTGCCTTAGTCTTCATCATGGGGTTTAAAATACTAACCACCATGGCATACACTAAAATGAAAAGTACAATTATTACCAAAGACTTGGATTCAGGGCTTTGAACGGAACAGTTATCCTTCAAATGAAGCAAACGGCAAAGAAAAGGAACAAAATATGCCGTAGTCCTTTTTGTTTCAAGAGTTGGCTTGTTTTGATGCTGATTAACACAGTTAAACATTCTGCTGTTGAAACCAGGATACGATTCAATTTAGTTCCTTTTGCAGATGTATTTATTTTAAGTTTTAACAATTTTGGAGACCACGTTAATTGATTTTATTCTCAATGTTTTCTGAAAGTCTTTGGTTGATATGGAATATTATGTAAGATTAGTAGGAGAATGCATGCTGTCCTGCTATGCATGCTTGAGTAGGTTTACCTTAAAATGAATAAAATGTTATCTTGTACTGTAGTATTGTAGTATTATAGAGAAAAGTAAGGGGCTGTATATGTTATTGGGGTAGGGAGGGGGGTTGAATATAGTGTAAATTAAAGTTAAAGAAGTTTAGAAATTTGCCATCTTTTTGATGTAACTATTTGACTTTTTTCATACATTAAATATAAATCCAGGATGAGGAAAAATGTAAAGACCTTTTCTGCTCTCTGAAAATAAAACAAAACATTAGCAACCAATGTCTTCATTAGAAATACAGAGCCAGTATTTTAATTCCACTCTGTTTTCAGTATTATTTTCTTAATTACTATGTTAAGGTTAGTAATCTGCACCAACTGCAGTCTCTGAAAGAGTAACTGTACACATTCTCAGCCAATAATCCTCATTTAATTTGTGGACTGCAATTACATTACACCACTAATTACAGTTAAAGGCCTTCCTGTCATTGTCTGCATGTTTGCTTGTTTACACACACACATACACACACACACACTAGATAAGCCGATGAATTCAGCCTGTGGTGGAGTTCTGGATCAGAGTGGAAATTGTTTCACCACAATGTGACTAACGAAGACAACAGAGACAGCGAAGAGAAAGGGAGGAAAGAGGATTTGAGAGAAATGAGAGGCTGGATGAGATAAAAGCTGATGAGAGTGAAGAGAGAAGAGAGAAGAGAGAAGAGAGGGAAGACTGAGAACAAAAGAGAAAAATAAGATGCCTCATTTTACTGAGGAGGATTTGAAGCTGTGTCTGTAACTGTGAGGGTCCATGTACTGGTCAGAGGAGTAGAATAAAGGTTGTGACTTTGACTGTACTTGTCGCTTCATTGTACTGTCAAAACTGTGTGTGTGCACATTTCCGTTCAAGTGTGTGTGTGTGTGCGTGTCTCTGTCCTCGACAGGAAAGAGTCATACCAAACCAAAATTGTATTTCAGCTGGAGAGCCTTCTGTAACAACGGTATGTGAACAAGCACATCTATGATTGAAGGCCCACATGTTGCATACATGCATACATATTTCATGTGGGCAGTGGATCTTAATTTATTGATGAGTGAAGTTAGCCCAATAAAATATTCATGCAAACTGTACAAAAATGAAATTTCAAAATATTCTTTTCATTTTCCATTTCAGATTGAGAATTTAAATATAAGTTAACACATTTACAAAGGATATTGAAATGTTTGGGAGAACTTTGTCAAAGACAACTCCTAATTTATGGTTAGTAAAATTCATGCCAGCTGAAATGCTCTGTAACGCTTTGCAATAAGAAGATACACAATATCTTAGAACGTGCTCATTTAAATGTGATTATGCCATATGTGGCTCAGATCCTCTGCCTTTCTGTCAGTCTTTTTGTATTGAAGAGTGGACTTGATTTTCCAACGAGTGCACAGGTCATTTGGGACGGCTGATGTCATCTTGGTCTGAAACGTCAGACAGAAGCGATTCTACGTAGGAAAGGTTTCCCATCTGAACTTTACTTGACGCAACACTTCTTGAGAAAATGAACAAAACCAACCCATCTACCCAAAAAAGAGCAAACAGTCAAGTATCAAAGCAAAAGGTTGCTCCGTTGTGTGGCAGAGACAAGTTTTCTTGCATTTGTATTATAATATGTGTGCGATGTGTATCTACCGTAATTTCATATCAAATTTACAAATTGAATGCTGAAATGTGACTTCTTGTCATCTTAGCCGGACTTGGGTCATCAAACACCGTTCACATGGGCGGAGGACATGCTGGCCACTGTTGCAGAGTTGACCTATGAAGTCAGCCACAGAGACGGATGCCTCCCGACTTTAGCAAGCGTTGGTGTGAATGATGAGAACATCGAGGTAGTACATTATAGTTTGTGTGTGTGTGT